CCTCCCTCCCTCCCATCCTCTCCCTCTCTCTATCTGACTCTATTCACATCCATCCATCCATCCATCCATCCATCCATCCATCCATCTTTCTATCTGTTTCTTTGTCTTCGTGCGTATTTCTGTTTCTGTCTCTGTCTCTTCTTTTGTCTCTGTCCCTGTCTTCTTCTCATGCAGAGTGTGTCTCTCTCATTTGTTCTCCGTGCTAAATCCTTTTCCATCTGTCGACACCTTCAATCTCCTTAACTATGTCAGCAAGCTCCCAATCTTGTGCTGTGTTATCGAGTACAATCAAACATGGTCTCCTTTTCCAACCTCCTTGCCTCTTTTTCATCTTTCCAACCTCCTCCCTCTTGTAGCTATCCAGGTTCAGAAGCTACATGTTCATTATCTATCATCTCAGCTACTCTAGTCAAAACATTCACAGCATCAATTCCTTCCAGATTCCACCTTCCAGATAATCCTAGCTCTGCTTACAACAAATCGCTATTATGCTCATTCCATCTTCACAATTTCATTATCTATCGTTTCTTGACAATGCTGAGCTGAACACATTGTGAGTTTGCCGGTCCTCTTTTCCGTTTCTCTTTTTCTCAATCTCGGCCTCTCTGCTGAGATCTGCATATCATGTCTCAATGCTGGCTGTCTGAATGGCCTCCATCCCGGCTCACAAGCTACTGCCGCCTCAACTATTACATCTTCCCCTCCCCCTTCCTCTTCTTGAACCTTCTCCGCATGTTCTTCCCGGCTCGGCCCGGCCCGGCCCTGCTATCCCTCTCTGCTAACCACTTCATCCAAACCTTGACCTCCCTTGCGACTCTCATTCGAGCTCCTCGACTTCTTGGCTATTCTTGCTCCCCTTGCGCCTTCTTCTCTTCTCCCTACCTCTTCCTTTCTTCTACGAATCGGCATGTGGCATGGAAGTAGCTTTATGAATGTTCTTCTTCCCCTCGTCACTCGTCCTGCCTCCCCCGCGTTTCGCCATTTCGCTGTGTTCCACTACCCACCTCCCACATCCCCCCTCTGACCACACTTTTACACTTATAAATTTTTTTCGCCCACCTTCCCAATTCCCTTGAGAAGCGCCTGAAATCTCCTCTAGCCCAAGAACTTTCTGAAAGGGTCAAAAGTCCTCAAGACGGCCACCCTCACACCTTCCTTGATTTACCTTCATGACAATCGAGACTTTGCATAGCATTACACCTACCCCACCAGGAGGGATTGAACCTGCCTCTCCAAAGTTCTGGGCAGTGTTGCTGACAGGCATTGCTAGCGTACCCATGTCAAAATCCAGGCATAAGTACCGGTATGGAACATGGGGAAATTTTTGAAAACCTCTCTTTTCCGACGTCGTCGATCTGAAGGCGTCTTATCAAGGCCAAAGCACCTCTTTTCATCCCTTACCTTTTAAAATATATATTGAGATCACAGAGGTGGGTAGGTCTAATACAGTCTCAGATATTCAAGGGTGGGGTCATCACATCTGTATCATGTTGATGGGGGTACTTTTTGTGACCGTTTACACCCCTCTTGCAAAGCTATTTTGGATGGGTGTATGATACTCATGAAGGGTGGGTAATAAAACCCTCTTTAGAATGTATGGTGGGGGTACTGGGACATGAGTGGTCAAGGTGGGGTGGTTTAACTGGCCTTGCATGAGAGAAAAAAAGGCTTCGCAAGGAAAGGGTCTGTACCGGTGGTACTTCACGTACCCGTACATTGTAGCAATAAGTTGTGTATATTGATGGGGTCATCATGTTTTTATCAGGGGTTAGGGTGGTGTGGAGGAAAGACATAACTAGAGTGGACAGCAGCTCTGTTAGGAGCAAGAGGGTAAGAATGGTGGCAGAAGAGGATGCGGGGAGCGAAGAGAAGCAGAGGAGAGATCACTTAGAAGGTGAGGAGACAGGGAGGGGGGGGATGGAGACCGTAAAAAGAGACAGTGAGAGGACAGACAAGTCAGAAAGATGGGAACTTGCGTAGCTTGGAGGCAGGTGGGGCCAGGGAAGGGTATCTAGAGGAGCAAGGAGCGGCCAGATGTTCGCAGAGAGGGAAACGAGGTGAGAAGAGAGACTAGTGATGAATCAAGGAAGGGATGCCCTGGAGAATATGAGCAGATTCATATTCAGAAACAAACGCGATCAAGTCCTGGAGTAGATGCGAACGAGGATTGACATGCTAAATCCAGGATTTTGTCGTGAAGGAGGAGAGCGACAGAGAGAAGATATGTCTGCACATGAGAGATATGGGATGGAATGATGCTGTGCGGCTCCGCAATGGACATACGGCGGGATTGAAGGATGGCGTCCGTCTCGGTCTCGGATGTTATACACACCTGTTAACAAAAGCGGTAGTTGAACGGCAAGCTCGAAGATGAGCGATCGGGGGGATCAATGTTCTGCAAGAGAAGTTGATGGCAATGATGGCAATGATGGTCAATGGGATCGAAATGTACAGCAACGCCGAGCATCAGATTGCTGTAGATCGGAACGAGCCGAACCAAGACAACCCTCGCATGCCCCGTTTGCTCCACTCGTACAAGGTGCCGAGGGTACAGGAGCAGCATACAATCGACAGGAACAGAGAACGTTCATGGCGGTAGGGGGAGAGCATGTTGGAGAGCTCCATGCTCGAGCATCGTGGGCTGAGTTCCACCAAGGCGTGTTGAGGACGATGGCTCCTTCGCTGCTTCCGGGCCCTTCCAACATGGCACCTGTGCCGCAGCATGCCTCGCCATCCTCCTCCTCAACCAGCAGCGTACGCTCGTCACGTGTGGAAGAAGCTCCACACCAGGATGGTGCTGGTGCTGGTGCTGGTGCTGGTGCTGGTGCTGGTGCTGGTGCTGGTGCTGGGTACTCGTTCCCTCGAGACAGCACGCACATTGTCTTCCCAAGGAAGCGGCGGATGCCTACTGCTGTTGAAGTTTCAAAGGGCCCGCTGAATGTGACGGCAGAGTCCATCCGGAGCCTCCAACATCACAGCCAAAAGGATGCGGCAAATGCTCTTGTATGCACCCTCCCTCCC